TCAAGCATTGGGCTGCTTTACTTCTACAGTAAACATTCGCGTCAAACTTTAGACCGACATCAAGTTATTATAACTCTTATTTTCTTCATTCGCGACGAGCGACAGGGTTGAACATTGACCCCGTATAAAATAAACCTGGGTTTTTATTTATGAACGCAATCATTGATCTCGGTGATGAAAGTTTATATATCTTAGGGGTGTGATATTCACACATCTCATTTTATTTCTTACACATATTTTTAATTTTCAATCTTCAAATCGGATGAATTGAAGAAAATTAATGGACATAAATTATTAAGAGGTGTGTGAGAAATAAAATAGGATGTGTGGATAGCACACCACTATATCTTATTGTAGCTGAAATATTTGTACTTTTCCATAAAATTTAAAATATTACTCTACCCAGCATGCATAAATCTTTGATTTTTCGTACAATGGTTTTAATTTACTATATATATATGCTCTGCTCGTGTAAATATTTGACTTGGCCGTTCAGGGGGAATGTAGTGGAGATTAAAATAGTTAGTATAATTAATAAAAAAGGCGACTTTAAATTAACAAAACAAATTTCACTTTGTACGAGTTGTGAGAAATGTTTATTATACGCAACTTTATTTTTTCTCTACAAAGAAGTTGTTTTCATGATTCAAACTTGTAATCTTTAGTTACAAAAGAGCAACTATTTCGTTGTACCAAAACTCATCCTACGTTAGTATAATTAATATCAGTTAAAACTTTTTGGGTCATTAATATCAGCTAAAACTGATAGCAGGAAAAATCAAGGGTGAGCAGGGAATTCAGTTTTAGAAATTCAACAGTCAACTCAAATATGTACAGAGGCTATACCGATCTTAACTTCCAAAGTGTAAGCTATATTCGATGCACATTTGACCTAAAGCATGAAGACGGAAAAGTGGTCTTTTCTTTACCTTATTATTTTTCATTTTTGTTGCACATTTTCAACATGCCCCGTCTCTTTCAGAAATAGCCTAATCATCTACACCTTTATGAAATGCGTAAATAATGTTAAATCTCTTTCTAACGTGATATCATTTTATCATATAAACATTATAATTGGTATTGTTCATTTATTTATTATCATTTTTAGAAAATTTTATTCGATTTGAAAACTGTTTAATTAACTATTCATATTGTCGAGCAAAACAAATATTATTATAATTAACAAGTAGTATTCCGAACTTGTGGTTTGAGCGTACATAACCTAGCTACGGTAGTGTGGTACATACTACTAGGTCGTTTTTACATATTAGGTCAGTATTATAAAAATATTGGCTTTTTATCCATAACGGTTTATAAGATTGGTATAATTCTTCACTTTGGTTTATAAGACTTAAAATCAATAGCAGTGGTTCTTGTGATTGTCCACCATCAATTATTTTGATCATTATGTGAGAAATCTCCGTTAAATTGAGAGTATTTTTGTCAAATCAACCTCTCCCCTTGAACCGATGGTTTCTTCAATTTAACGGAAAATTTTCATTGAATGACCAAAATGATTAACAGTGGACAATCTCAAAGACTACTTCTATCGATTTTAACTCTCAGTGACAAAAGTAAAGAGTTATGACAATCTCAAAAATCATTTAGGCTAAAAACCTAAAAAAATTAGACGGTCATCTTTTAAACATACGTTGGCAAAGAATCCACAACATTGTGGGTTGGTGAATATTGAAAGTTGAGAAAACCCAGCAAACTGATAGGCGTCAAGTTAAAAAACAACGAATACATAGAAAGTTATATTGACTTTAGTCTTTTAGGACATTTTTGATGATCGGGAAACTATTGATGGGTAGGGCTAATGTATCTTGGAGATGTCCCTGTCTTTGTATATGATAAGATATGTAAAGGTACATTCATCCGAACAGGATTTTTTCGAACGCTCAAGAGAAAACATACATAAAAAACAAATAATTAACTTGCATACTAGTTAAACTTTGCATAATTAAGGTTAATCTGATCAGTTACTTCGCGTACCTACCTGTATGTATGCACTGCGCTTTCTGTGATGAGATTCCTTTCCATTTAGAACTGTTGGTCAAACTTTTGGGTTTTGATAAAGGGTGAGTTGTTGAATGGAACATGTGGACTTTTCTTGATGCACTCCTTCCTATATCCTAAAACCCTCATCCTCTAATTTGTTTAACTTTTTATTTACATAAATAAATAAAAATTCAAGACAAAAACAAGAAATGTACGTAGAGAAGAATGAGAATGTAAAAATCGCTACCCTCGATGATTTATACGTTGTAGACACAACCACCGTTTAAATTCATTATTTTTAAAATCCCACCTAGGCTCTAAGTGGCTAGCCACCGCCCTAATTAGTCTCTAGGCGTTTGAAAATTAAGAAAGTACACCTAGACCAGCTTAGGCGTTCGCCTAGCCCGCCTAACACACATATACCCACTTAGGCTGAGACTCTCACTTAGACAAAAAATCGATAACTCTTATTTTGTTTTTTGATTAAATGTAAGAGACTTGTTGAATACTTAGATAAACACTCATTATATGTTTGCTCCTCATGCTTTCAATATGTTCTAATAGTTTATAATCTATATGTCATTTTAGTTTGCAATTTATGTATCCTTATACAATTATATATTTTTTCCAATATAAAACGACACTTATTTATACAATAAATAATAAATTTACTTAAATCCGTCTAGTCCGCATAGGCATCCGCCTAGGCCTCACCTAGCCGCCTAGGCACTAGACCCTTGCCTGCTGCTCGACTAGCGTATGACATCTTTTAGAACCTTGTTTAAACCTCAAGTTAATTTTGAGTTCAAAATCAAAGAGTCAAAAGGTAATTTTAAATTCTTTCTTTCTTCTATGATATAAGTAATAATGAGAAGAGGAAATTCAAACATATAAAGTAAAAAATCTTAACTATTTTAGTTACTCCTAAATTTTTTTTACAAACGATAATGTTAGTATGTTAAATAGTTGATTATTAGGGAAAAAAAATTAGTGGAAATCAAACTCACACTAAGGTACATAGACATGATTACTTTCTGCTCCTACAATAAATACCCGTCTCCACAAACTCCTAACTTTAAATGAGCCGTGTTTCGAAAAAAAAAAAAAAAAAGCGCCCTGTTCGAAAAGGTATTCCCATCTTGTAGCATGAGGTTCGATTAAGAAGCAAACTGTGCGTAAATCGATAGTTTTTTCTTGTTTCTTTGACTACTAAATGTACACCCACGTGTGATCTTAAGATAATTATTTTTTTATCGGGACATTAACTAAAATATCTTATATTTTTTGTTAGGATAAACGGTAGTTTGACTTCTTGAACTATTAATCCAGTTGAAATTGATCTCTTAAACTATTTTTTTAGTAAATCAATCAATTATCCACTTTGCCGTTTAAATATTGACACTAGGGGTGGAAAAAAAAATACTGAAAATACCAAACCGAAAAAATCCCAAAAATTTCGGTACCCAATACTGAACCAAACTGGAAAAAAATATATATATTATTTAATTTTAAATATATATTTGGAATTGTAACAACCGTCCGATTTGGTTGAGAATCTCAACCGTTCAATCCAAATAAAACCCTCAGACTCAGTCTCTCTCTCGACCTCACCACACCCTCACTCAGTCTCAGTCACATACTCTCTCTCTTTCTCTCTCAACCTCACCCTCCTCGCCGATTTATCTCAACCTCTCTCCTCCTTATTTACCGTCTTCGAATCCGGCCACACCCATATCACACATGTGACTCACCTCTCTCTCTCTCTCTCTCTCTCTCTCTCTCTCTCTCTCTCTTCTCTCTCTCTCTCTCTCTCTCTCTCTCTCTCTCTCTCTCTCTATGTGGAGCCTTCTTTCTCATCCCTCACTGTACACCGATTTAATCCAAGGGTTTTGTAGCTCCACATTTTGATGTGCTTTGCCTTAGCTGTGAAGCAATGTATCTTTGATCGGTGCCAAAATAACACACTCAAGTCTTTGGAATTCTACTTTGGTGGTTTTAGGGTTTGCTCTCTCTCCCTCTCGCTCTCTATATATGATGAGATATATTATTATACAGGGGTTTGTGTGTGTGACTTATAAAGCTAACTTTTAGTTAAAGGATTTGAGTTTAACTTCTAGGTGAACATAAATTTAGAACTCTTTTCCTTTTTATTTAGATTACATCAAAATTTAATCTCGATTTGTCATGAAAGTAAAAAAATATTTCGGGATTCCCGAAATTTGGGATTTCCGAAAATTTGGTTTGTGATCGGTCTTAAAATTCCTGTTCCGAAAAATTTCGGTTCGGGATAGTAGTGGTTCGGTATCCCATACCGAACCAGCCCTAATTGACACGACATTACTCTCAAGAGTGAATCATGTGCCAATATTTGACGTCAAAGTGGAAGAAATGTCATCGAATATGACGGTAAAGGGTTAATTGACAAATTTTAAATAGCTCAAGAGGTTAATTTACCAAAAAAAAAAAGAATTTCAAATAGTTATTTTCAACTGAGTTAATAATCCAGAAGTTCAAATGATATCTTGCTTTGTTTTTTTAAAGAATTTGGTCCTCTATCATGACTTTAATCAAATAGTAGAAGCCACTAAAAGAATATTTTAATTACAAAATAATTATAAAAAATAAAAAAAAGATAACGTAAATGTGTGTGTAGAAATATATTCTACCAACCTAGACGGCCGATTTGGATCTTTGGGAGAAAAAATGAGGACAACAAATCCCGAATGCCTGTCCCCACAAAAGATTGAGGGTATTGTGATCAATAAACATTGCCGTGACAAAATCACGACTTGATCTTTTTTTTTTAAAAAGCCCTATTTCTATGATTTCATTAATCAGTTGTGGCTCTGCACTTTTCTATTGCATGCTGGGAATCTATGAGTACATTAATATTTGCCAATTTATTTGTTGGGTAACTAACAGCCATTTTTTAAAATGTGGGCTCGTCATTTTCGTTATTGCCATCATTTCTTGGTGAGAGTAATAATTGGATTCAGAAATGAACACAAAAATATTAAAGACTCCTCATCAACTATTATTTTTATGTTTCACATGCCTACTCACAATGTTTGTGCGTTGTTACTAATTTTACGTCTGCTCAATTGTTCTTCGACTGTTTCAGTCATTTGTTCTACATTAGCCATTGCATTACAATTTCAATGACCAAACCCACACATTCGCACTAAACAAATTAACTGAATAAACAAACTCATTTGTTGGTGGTTTGCAGTTGCAATTACCGATCAATCGATCATTTTGTAATAACAATTGCAGGTCCACATTAACCACCCATAGTACATTATTTTAAGGTCATAGATGGTGATCAGCTAACCAATAGTTGCTCGCCAAGTGGTAGCAGATACGAGGTATTGTTCTTTTGCCTTTTATGACGCACATTTGCTTGATGATCATGATCAGCCGACGAGGAGACTGACTTGTCTAATTTGGTCCTCTTGGTGGCCGCCGTTGGCGTTGCTGAAGAAGAAGAAGAAGTACTACTGCTGGCGGCGGCCTCTTGCTCTGGCTCTTTTCGTTTGCCGGTGACTCGAACAGGCGGAGGCTCATTCAACCCAATCCGGTGAGGGAAATTGAGCAAAGCCTTGGAGCCACGAATGCGAAAGGCGGCACGGTCGTAAGCCAAAGCAGCTTCCTCCGAAGTCTCGTAGGTACCAAGCCACACTCTGGCCCCATTCTTGGCCGGGTCTCGTATCTCCGCCGCGAATTTTCCCCACGGCCTCTGCCTCACGCCTCGAAAATGCTTCCCTCTCGCCACCCCCGACTTTTGTAATTTCGGGATATTCACATTCACTCCATCTTGTTCAGCTACTGCATCTCCTACTTGTACTTGATTTTGATCACGATCGTCATGATCCAACGGAGGAATATCAGTATCAGGTGGGAGGACTAGGGTTGGTGAGGGTTCGTTTCCATTAATGGGAACATTAAAATCGTGGGGTTGAGATTGAGTGGAAACATCAGGTGGCAGCTGATCATGACTTTGACCAAAAAGATGATCAAGATCATACGTCTGTTCGGGTTTGACACATTCCCAGGAGTGGTCGGGAGACCATCCGGGGCTAAGAGCGTCGTGAAGGGAGTTGTAGTCGATCATGTCATCCCAATCGTCGACTTGGAAGGGTAAAGTGTGGTCGGGAGACCATCCGAGGCTAAGAGCATCATGAACGGAGTTGTAGACGATCATGTCCTCGGAATTGTCGACTTGGAAGGGTAAATCTCCCCATTGTTGCGTTAAGCACGGCATCATACATGGACTGCTAATATTGTTCACCGTCAATGAGCAGCAGCTTGTGTAGTGCTGAGGTTGTTCTTCCATCTTTGCTTGTTAGCTTTGTCCTTAATTTGGATGACTAGGCTAACAAAAAAGAAGAGAGAGAGAGTGTGTGTGTGTGTGTGGAATTGAGAAGTTGATTCACAAATTTCGGAAGATGTGGAGGTATGAAGGGGTATATGTATAGAAGTCGGGGCTGGAAACTGTTGTAGCAGTCTTTTTGGTACACTCATAACACAATTACGTGTGATTAATTTTAATCAAATTATGTGTATTTATTTTTTATAAAAAAACCCTAAAAGTAAAAGATACAAGTATGTCGCACACTCTCATAACACAGTAAAAATTACATTACGTGATAAAGTGATTAAAGTAAAAATTTGTCAACCAAAATTACCCAAATAAATAGGTAAATATTTTTTTTTCTGACCTAAAAAATTAAAAATATCTTTTTCTATTTTCTTAATGATTGTCTTTTAGAAAAAAAATAACTTTCTAAGGTTTCTGTGAACTTTCTGCCTTTCTTTTTCTTTCTTTCTTTCTGTGCAATACGAATGGAAATTGCAAAGTAACAAGCAGCCACATTGGGTGGGGTTAATGGGACCGGGCGTCTATATACACACTGACGTCACGGTTGCTTCCGTCGGCAGTTCGCCAGGTGATGTATTTGATCTTTATGCGTTGTGAAACTACAATTTGTTATTTATCTTTTTCAATTCAAAAGATTCGATGATTAGATACGAAGAAGTGTAAAAGAGGTAAAAATGGTGTGTGAATAACACCATCCTTGTTTAAATGTAATTAGACACAGATTGTCTTAAGAAAAAAACTACGCACGAATTAACAACTGATGATATCTTGTATGCCCTTGTGGGATCACCGTGTTAACCGAAAATCTCTTCTATTTTTCTTTCCCTTTTATTTTTGTTAATAACCTTCAAACATAGTTGAATACTTAACTTTGTGTAGTAAATACGATTCATATCATATATGATATGGATAGAGGTAATGTTATCTACACACTTACATTTATTTTTCACACAACATTTTTAATCTTTGACCATCGAATCGAATAAATTGAAGAGAATTATAAGGTAAAAATTATCATGGAGTACATGAAAAGTAGTATCGGATGTGTAAATAGCACTATCCTATTATTAATATGATGTCATGAACATGCAAAATCTGTTTTGAAAAAGAACAAATACAAATGATGATCTTGCAACTTACGACATGAAAAACAACTAGTCAAATTGCAAATTGCATAATAAAGAATTATGGGTGGAAGGAGACAAAATCTTGAGTGTAACTATGATGAGGAAAATAGAAAGAAAATAATATCCATCTGTAACTGTAAGGCTATTTCTAATGCAACCAATTTTTTTTGTCAAAAGGTATATTTTGACTCTAAATTTATAGATTTTCTCACAAACGCAAAGTTACATTTGATTTTAGATATCTCTAAAGTTAAAAGTAGGACCACCACCTCCAGAATAAGAAAGTTATAATTCTAAAATGGGGTTAATCACTCTTTAAAGCATATGAGTTAAAAGTCAAATTTAACTCCATATGAATCGAAAATGTTATAACTTATCGTTGAATTGGAGATATCTTAAGATATCTCCACCCATGGTTTAATTAATAGAGCAATTGGGTTGGATTGTCTTATGACCTAAAAAAAAGCGGTCCACCGGTGCAAATAATGGAGGGCAATTGGGCCAAAAGCTTGTGCCCTTTCAGCTGCCCTTGCAAGATTTGCCTTGGCTTGTGCCATTGTAGCTACCCAATTGCAGCAGTAAGGCCAACCCGGGCGCACAACCAAGCGTCCATGCAGACTGTTGGCTTGCCCTCACAGACTGTTGGATTTCCAACGGATCTTTTATCTGGACTGCTAGATTTCTAATGTTAGAAAAGAAATTAAAAATTAAAGGTTGTCCCATATGGCATAATCTGGTGCATATGATTCAACCCAAATTTAGTAAATCAACGGCCTGGTTTAATTTGAAGTTAAAAAAATACAAATATTTTTTAACATCACACTTAAAAAATTTACAAAGTTCAACCACCTTCTTTATTTGTGTTTTATTTTTAATTAATTACGCTCGTTATTATGCTTTGTCTTATATTTAAAAGTAAACTATCAGAGTTAGATATGGAGTTTTATTTTCAAAGAACAAACGTATTAAATACACACTTACAAGGCACAAAACAAATATATATATATATATGTATATATATATTTGTGAATAGTGATTACACTTGCTTTTGCCCTTTCCTTTCCTCTTCTTAAATTGATGGATTTGCACAAAGACAATTACTGTTCAGAACAAATAATTAAGACAATTTCATTATCCCTACCTTTCCTTTTAAAACAGGTGGAGTTCTAATAAAACGGACCTTAGCTAACGTAGCTTCGCCCAAAGAATGACATTAAATTATGCAACAATACCTATTTTTATTTTTGTGTTGAGATTAATATCTATGTACCCTTCTCCAGCTAGAATACAACATACATATGCTGACAACCTTGGCTGCTTATTTAACTTTGTCGCCTTTCACCTAATTAATCAAATAATTAACTACTTTTAATTGTTTTTATTTGAATATTAGGAGGAGGTATGTGGTTTTATATTATTTATGTTAAAACCAAAAAAATAAAATAAGTTCACACGTAAAACGGCATAACTAATTTTATATTTGATGGGTGATCAGACAAAAGATTTGGTATAAATTATAAATAGATTAGTTTTTTGGGTCTATCCTGAAAAAGGACAAAAAGAAAGCCCATGACTGCAACTTGTCCAACAGTGACATAACCTTACTGTTCAATATGTGCCTTACTGTTCAATAGCGACTTAACCTTATGGAACTTTTATTTGAAATTTATGTATGAAGGTAGACGTATTTTTTTTAAATCTCGGGTGTTGATGTAATTTTTAATACTTGAGGGAGTTTAATGAAAACACGATTAATTTTAGAAAATGTAAAATGATGGTTTCCTTTCAAGCTCTACGTTTTAATGCATGTACGTGCAAAAAAATAAATAATTAAAGGAAAACTAACGAAAAATATTTGAAAACTTTAGCTTTTAATCAAAATGATAAAATAAAAGTGTAAGTGAATAGTACAAAGAGTGACTTTTTAGGCTATAAATGTCAAGTGAACAGTACCTGGAGTGTTTTATTAAAACTTACATAATTAAATCCATGTAGCAAACATGATTGAAGACAATAAAAGTACACTTTAACTCAAGAATTTGGGACGTGCTTAATGTAACCTTAGAATGAGGTGATTTTGTATCTATCACTCCTTTAACTTATCCATACAACTAATCATTTAAATATAGTCTACTTAGTTACAAGCTCATGTTAAATCAGTGACGAAGTCAAAAATTTACAATAATGAGACCACGAACAACAAGCTTATGAAAACTAAATACTTTCATTTATAATTGCCAATGATATGTTCTCATATTATAGAAACATCGTTTCACAATATCATTATCAATATAATTAACTACATTTGAATTCTTCGTAATATTGATCACTAAAAGAGCTATCCCTGTTTTGGAAAGATTGTAGTTTTGGTATGTTTTAATTAAAAAAGTATTAATAAATGGTTTCTCTGTTTTGTTTGTCTCAATTATTATAGGGGCCATGTAAAAATTAAAAAAAAAAAGAAATATTTGAAGTTGTTAGAGTTAGCGGCAGCCAATGCTCTCATGTTGGCTCTGCCGTTGACAAAACTCGTTGAGAGAACCATAATTCTGACAGAAACTGTTACTAAATGTGTATGAAATAATAATAATAATAATAAAGAATGTGAAGACACAGACAAATGGGAGCCAAAATTGCTTTACTGCATGTTGCTAATTGTGTATGAAATTAATAATTAAAAAAATGTGAAAGCCACAAACAAATTGGACCAAATTTTGCTTTTTGCAGAGATATCCCACCCGGCTCTGTTGCTAATTCAAATGTAATAATAATAATAATAATAAATACCTAAAAATGTGAGGCCACAAACAAATTGGGACCAAACTGATTTTTGCAACCCACCCCAGCTATCATCCATCGTTGTCTCTGCACCCAGCACTCATCTATCGCCCCCATCTTCGTTGGTCTTCCTTGTCCTAATTAGTTGTTAGTTGGCAGTGTAGAAGGTGATGTTTTCATTTGGTTGAAGCGTCTCTTTCGTTGTATCTCCTTTCATTGCATTCTTTGCTCTCTCTAGCTTCTTGTTTGCCTCTTGGTAGGCCTTCCTGTATTCTCTTTGGCATCTTTGCTTTGGATTGCACTTCCTATTTCTCTAAAAATAAAAATTTTAATAAATAAAATAAAATTTGTCCATTTGTTTTTCGTTTCTCCCTACATATCTACAAGATCAGCACCCATTTGAGTACAAGCTAGTTTCCTACTGTTTAATTTTTAATTTGGTATAAGCAGGTTTACTCTTAACATTAATTATTAAATGTAAGTTATGTAACAAGTGTTCTTATATTAATTCAATCTCGAATTTCTTAATCACAACCATTAACATATTACTGGCATAAACTATGTGTAATCTTTACCGAATCATTAGGTTGGACCTTGCATTTAAATATAGTATAGTTGGAAGAGCAAGTAAGCAAAGTAGGTGGAGGTATTGCGACTTGCTGATTTTTCAATTAGGTTTATTAATCAAAATCGGCCTTTTTTACTTGTACACTTCAATCATATTCTACTTCTACAAATTCTACTAAAAAGGTAATAATAACTCTCTTTTTTGCAATTTTTTTTTTAACAATGAACCAATGAATCTACAAAAAAGTTTACAAAAAAAAAAAAAGGAGGACAAAAAAAGAAGAAGACAACAGAAAGAAGAAAGTGTGTGTACAAATAGTGGAAGCCTACGTTTTGGCCAATACGCTGATTTTGGAGCATTGTTTAGTGTTTTGTGACAAAAAGTGAAAACTTACAAACAACCATGTTTGCGATTCCTAATCGCCTATAATCATACACCAATTTAAGTATCACCATTTAGACAAAGTATATCCATAATTTACTAGAGCGTCAACAACAAGATTTACTTATGGGTAAACATGCTAAATTCCTCGAACATTGTTTAGTCCTTTTAACTATATTTTATTATTATTTTCACATCACAGTGAAAGCCGTCAAATTC